AATGAAACTACAGACTAATGATTGAAAGCAATCAGGTGTAACAAAGACTGAGAGACTAAGAGGAAGAGAGATATGGTGACAGATCACCTGCCACGTGGAAATGCACACAAGTATAAAATGACAGCACTAGGAGGGCGTTCCTTAGAGACAGTAAGTACTTCCCCAAGAGAAGTAAAAGAGCAAAGGATAGCTGTTTCTAGAGAGTATAGTGAATAGAAAAACAGATCTTTATACACATTTGAATAACTGTAATAAGTACTAAATACAAAAGGGTTGGCCCTATCCTCCAGCCATGATCTTCACAGGACAGAAAGTGTAAACAGCACCGGCACCAGAAACATCTTTGTCTAGAGGAGGTGGTGCCAGTGGTTTGGGCTTTCACATTTCAGTATAGTGGTAGGGCCTATATGCCCCAGGTCTACATCCCCCCCATAAATGCCATGAACTTCTACTGTAAGCCCCCATCAAACTTCTGTAAGCCATTTGGGTATCTTAGCATAGCAATAGAAAAATAACTGAGACAGCATCTTCAGCAGGCATCAGATACAATGACTAAGAGCATAACTACCCCTATTAGTACTGGAACCACAGGCATCACTTAAGTTGGGTGAAGTGAGGAGGGAGGAAAGTGGCAGAGAATAACTCAGCACCTGCATAAAAGCCAGCTGCTGGGGCATGAATCTGTAACCCCAGAGCTCAGCGGGTGGACACCATTGGATCCCTGGAGCTCATTGGCTGATCAGCCTAACAGAATCAATGAACTCCAGTTTCAGTGAGAAACCCTGTCTCAAAAATGTGAGGTGGAGAGTGATTTACAAAGACACCTTTTTAAAAAATGTTTTTTTTTTTTAAAAAAAGATTTATTTATTATGTATTCATGTGTGTCTGCATGCCAGAAGAGGGCACTAGATCTCATTACAGATTGTAATGGTTGCGAGTCGCCATGTGGTTGCTGGGAATTGAACTCAGGACCTCTGCAGTGCTCTTAACCACTGAGCCATCTCTCCATCCCTAGAAGGACCCCTCTTGTTGATACCTGGCCCACATGCATGCACACACACAGACAGACTGATGTCTTACCCCGCATCTATTATGACTATACATTTCATATACCGCATCAGCCCCCCTCCCCTCATCAAACAGGGTCACTCTCATATTCTAAGCACTGCCATTGCCAAGACTTCTTCCCATACTGTTTCCAGAGAGAACCATGGCAACCAGTAGCTCCCATTACTCAGATAATTGATAATTCTGTAAAGACACAAAGGTACCTGCTAGAAAAAGTTGCCAATTTCATATTGCTTACTCTGTATCATTTTTGAGGCCAAAATCAGACACTTCTTCATTTTCAGTTGTGTATTTGCCATAACAGTCACTTATCAGTGACTTAAAGGCGGAATAGACCTTGCAAGTGTTGTTGCGGACTCTCAGCTGCCGCACTCTTGGGACTCCGAGAAGAACGTTCTCATAGTAGATGCGGCTGCTGTTCTTCAAATTGTACAACTTCTGGTTATTGTACCACGAGTCCCAGTACAAGCCTTCCAGGAGGGGCCCTTCCACAAACTTCACAGAGAAAGGCAAGTATCATGAGAAGAAAAGACACATTCATGGCAACAGTCTGTAGTCACACCTGATTCTGAGTGTTAAGTATTGACTGAGACACCACTTACGGCAATGACAAGTGCTGCTGGCAAAGACCACAGGGATGGCTACTCCTCACTCTGTCCCTGTTCCTTTCTAAGTGATCTCAAGTCCAGAGAGGCTCTCCCCATTTCTTGCTGTCTTTGCCACTGGCCACACAGACAAAGAGGAAGGATGACTTGTATATTTCTCCTTTCCTACTAGACCGATGACTTATGACCACTTGGACCTTATCTCACGTTTGTCCTCTTTCTTACTAAGTTTGTCTTGTCACCAGGACAGAATACTGGCCTAAACATTTAGGGGAGGCAAGATTTGTTTAGTTAAGTTTCGGTCTACCTTACCAGGAAGGGTGTGGCAGAACAGGGCAGCTCAGACCGTGGTGGCCGAGATGCCCAGTGAATGCCAGAGCTCTAGCTGTTTCCTTCATTCTCTCCTCTTATCTCATCTGACCACAGACTGTGGATGGTGCTGCCCAAATTCACCAGGTAGTTCCCCTCTCAGAAAAACACCATCAAGGCACCCACCCCTCAGGGTCTGCTGTGCCAATCCATCTGCTTCTATGTACCCAAGTTAGCCACCCTATCCTCCCATGCTGAGAACATGTCCGTCTCTCCAGTAAATTTCAGCTTCCTACTGTGGCATTCATGATGTAACTGCTGTCCATTCATTTTCTACCTCATCTTCTCTGCTCACACTGCACATTCAGCTCCATGTGAATTGCACACAGCACATATTCCCTATTCTTAGGATAGCTTTTTCTTTATTGACCCTTTAAAATGTATCCACACTGCCACCGCCTTGGGACAGTCTTCCCTCACTGCCTCATCCTTTACATCCAAATGTGTGTGACGTGGGGACCAGAAGCTGCTCCTGCTTGATTTCTCTTCTTTCTTGATGACTCAAGCTACATGTAACAGAAAACCTGTGTATCTCAGTGCTGAAGGAACACTCGTGTAACCAAACACAGAAAGTTGTGTCACACATTGCTTTTAAAAAATTATATACAGCGGGGCTGGAGAGATGGCTCAGAGGTTAAAAGTGCTGGCTGCTCTTCCAGAGGACCTGAGTTCAATTCCCAGCAACCACATGGTGGCTCACAGCCATCTGTTATGAGATCTGCTGCCCTATTCTGGTGTGCAGATATACATGGAAGCAGAATTTGTATACATAATAAATAAATAAAATCTTTAAAAAATTATATACAGCATATTACAGTAACACACAACAGAGGGTTGCATATATAAATTGTGACTATTATCCTTTCTGGGAAATTAAGAGTTTGTATGACTGTCACTCGTATGGATTTTACATAAAGAACCACAGGCTGACTTTAGTACTTACAGGGCAAATCTTGTGTTTCCCAAGGGAAATGGGAATATTTGAGACAGTATCAAAAATTTGAAGTCATAAATAACAGTCACAATGTGAACGTAAGATTCACAACAAACAATGAAACAATACTCATTTTTATTGTTAATCCCTTTAACAAACATTCCCTGAGCATTTTCTACATGAGGCAAGGGTTTATTATTAGAGACTATATGTGAATTTGTCTTTCTTTTTTCTAGAGCTGAGGCCCAAATCCAGGGCCTTTCACTTACTAGGCAAGCATTGTATCCCTGAGCTAGCCTCTAACCCCTGGCATATGGGCTAGCTAATGCTACTTCATCAGGTCACACGTCCTACCTTCCAGAAGTCGGTTATGCTTCGGATGGACCTAAAACTGCTCTTTTCATCGTCTGGGAGGGCAGTGTCCACAAACAGAGATGACATCACTTTGTTTAAGTAGTACATGTGTGGATTGACCATCCCAAATGTCACTGAGGAGAGAAGTCCTTGTTTGAGTTTGTAATTTAAAATCCCACGTCAGCAGCATTCAAAAATACTCATTCCCCCAGCTTTAAAACAAATCCAACATTGTCTAAGTATAAAAGTTTACATTTATTTATCGTGTGTGCGTGCATGCACATTCATGTGCCATGATACAATCGTGGCAGTCAAAGGATAATTGGTGGCAGCTGGCTCTCCGCTTTCATTATGTGGGTTCCAGGGCTCAAACTCAGGTCACCAGGCTTGGTTGCCAAGTGCCTTTATCCACCTCACCAGCCCTGTTTTATCTAATAGTTAAGGCTAGATATATACAAAGCAAGTAGAAGTTTCCTTCAACCCTCATTCTAAAGGTAGACATAGATTCTTCAGGTCTGATGGATATATGTATATTTAATATTCTGTCTTTTACAAATGAAGTCAAATTAGGGCTGGTGAGATGGCTCAACACTTAACAGTACTTTGCATGAAGAGCCAACAAGTAGAAGGGGAAAGAGAAAAATAACCACACAGAGTTGTTCTCTGACCACACATGTGCCCTTATTCATGCACTCACACACACACACACACACACACACACACACACACACACACTCATTATATTTATTTAAAAATGGGGTCAAAAAATATCATGAGTACTTTTTTTTTTTTTTTGTGTGGGGGGGGGTGGGGGGTTTTTTAAGAAAGGGTTTTTTTGGGGTTTTGAAGGCTGTCCTGGAATTAGCTCTTGTCGCCCAGGTTGGTCTCGAACTCAGAGATCCACCTGCCTCTGCCTCCCAAGTGCTGGGATTAGAGGCGTGCGCCACCACTGTCCCGGCCAGCCATCTTTTACTACAGTTATGTTATAATTATGGAACACTTGGAATGTGAGTGTGTGTGTGCTCCTACATGTGGAGGTCAGAGCTCAACATCAGGAGGCATTGCCCAGGAGCCACCCACCTTGGTTTTAGTTTTGAACAGGACCTTTCATTGGCCTGGACCTTACAAAACTGGCTAGGCTGGCTGGACAGCAAGTCCCAGGGCTCTGTTTCTACCTCCCCAGCCCTGGGTTTACAATCATCACCATATCCTTCTTTTCTACATGCATTGTGGGCATCAAACTCAGGTTCTCACGCTTGTGTGGCAAGCACTTTACAGACCCAGTTATCTTTCCAGGCCAACATGTAGAACATTTAAACCCATGCTTTGGAACATATTCAAACATTTTTAATCAGTAGTATTTCTTTCTCCCCCCTTTATAAACTATTTCATTTTATTGCCAGAACTCCCCAGTGAAAACAAAAACACATGGGGCAATCAGGATGGGTCAAAGGGAACATATTCACATCATCAAGCGTGACAACCCAAGACGCTCAAGATGAAGGTGAGACCAACCTACACAAGCTGTCCTCCCGACCCCCACAAGTGCTGTGGTGCTTGCACAAGGCAAATAAATGGGTGTGTGCCATCTTATCTCACTGCATATTCTACAGTGGTTAGTGAATCCCCTTACAATAAAGAAAACAACCCATGTCTACAGTAAGTATTGAAGAATCTCTGAATGGTGGGATTATAAGTAATCTTTTGACTTATATTTCCTACTTTTTAAATGATTGGTAATAAGCACATGTTTGTGTTATCTTTATAACTAAATCTTATAATCAGTCTAAGGCACCTTATCAAGTTAGCCACAGTTGTCTTTAATCTCAAACACCGACCCCTATAATACCAATTAACTGTGTATTTACAGGCTACACATTCAGAGATGAGAGAAATCCTGTATGTTAACTTCTAGCTACAAACATTGAGCAGTTTAAATACAAAAACGTTAACAAGATTTTCACATGCTAAGGTGATGCCATGGACCCACGGTGGCATGGGCGTTTAGTAGATTGAGCAATTCTCCCTGCCCACCTTAACAACTGGCATTTACTTGGCACAAATGCATTCTATTATTACACAGCCGTTTAGTGATAAGGATGAGACTATGGCCATCCCCAAACTTCCTGTTGTGTTGAATTTGTACCAGTACAGCTCTATGGCTCTGAAAGAAATTAAATTCAATTGTCAACCCAGGGGACTATGTGTAAGTAGATCCTCCAAATGAAAACAACAACAACAAGTCTTAGTCAGTGTTGACTATGGAAGCTTTCCATTACATCTGTGACCTAGTTTTGCCCCTTAAAAACTGGAAATTCTGTCCATCATAGGATAATGAGCTCTAAGATCTTTCAGTTCTTTGAGTTTCTATTTTTCACTTCCACATTTTAACTAGTTCAACCAGCGTTTTCACCTACACCTGTGTACTTACATATACATAGAGTTATTAAAAAAATAAAGTAGAGTAACAGCTCCTCAAATGTGGTATTAACTTCTGCTTCCCGTCTGTAATGCAGATCATGTTTGGAAGTCCCTGTGCAATGTAAAACAAAACTTTATATTACTGGGTAACTACAATGTACATAAGTAACCAAGATGGGAAAAACAACTACTGTTAGTGGCTCCTGGTTCCTTTTTACTTCTCACTTGAGACTGGGGTAACCGCTAAATTCTGCTATGGAGCGGGCAGTCACACTCTATCGCTGTATGCTGATGGCCTTGATACCACAAGGGTTTCCCCCTGTTAAGATACAAATCAAACACCTCCTTCTGTCCCCTACTGCTTTCTCCGCCCTCATCGCAGCTTCTGGGGAAGACAAGGTCCAGCTGCGAAGAAGCGGCTCCAGCTGCAGCAGCCCAAGGCAGCGACCACTCCCTCAGCGACCACGGAGGTGACAGCCTAGCAAGGGACTTCTCTTGGTGGCAGCGCTGGCTGCCGTCTCTCACGGGAGTGGGGGTTTGGGGTCAGAGTTCCTTCTTGGGGACCTGGAGTTGCCCACGGACCCTGGTTTACCCGCTCTCCAAGCTCACCCATCCTCACCTCCTCGGTACCACCAAGATGCCTCGGCCATCGCGGACCGGACCACACGGTCGGTTCCACTCAGCCGGTTCCACCCTACCCCTCGCCCCGCGCCTGCGCACTAGCACCACGGCTCGCTAACCCCGAAATGTGCCAGCCCGCCCTGCATGGGCAGGTTTGAACAGAAGCGATGCCACAAGGCACCACCTCGGTTGTCGCTTCACTTCCCGGGAGCTGTGGCCTGGCGGAGGTTTATTTATAGCTCACTTTTCTGGATGCAGAAATAAAATAAGTATCACTACCTACAGCATGAACTAAGTGGCTAAAAAGGAGATCTTATTGATTTAATAGAAATAACTAAGTTAACAGTATCACAAAACGCTGATTGGGCATGGTGGCCCAATTCTGTCATACGAACCTTTAGAAGGTAAAGACCATAGAGGATCTGGGCGTAGATGCCAGCACTGGCCTATATGTGGAGACCCAGACTCAAAAAACAAACCCACTGAGCTCCAGATACAAACCCTTCAGTGTTCTCACAATTCACTTAAATACGTCCACGTGTATATGCAAACATGGGTCTGTATATCTAGATACGCAACTGTAGTTTTTTGTTTGCTCAAGATATGACCCGGCAGGTTATAAACTAAAAATTTAACAACGTGCAATGAGACGAAAAGCGATCAGGAGGTGAGGCATGAGTAGGCGAAACTTCAGAAGTTTATCCTGTGTGTCTGCATTATTTATTATGAAAATGGAGAAATCCAAAGCACACATCATGTATTAGAGGTCTCTAGAGGAACATAACTGATAGAATGAATCTATATATAAAAAGGGATTTGTTAGAGTGACTTACAGGCTACGGTCCAGCTAATCCAACAATGGTTGTCTCCCAATGGAAAGCCCAAGAATCAGCAGCTGTTCAGTCGGAAAGGCTGGATGTCTCATTTGCTCTTCAGCATACTTCAGAATCCCAAAGACTAAGCTCTAACGCCAGTGAAGTGAAAGAGAGCAAGCACAAGCAGGCAAACAGCAACTTTTTCTTTATATAGGCAGCCTTGAGGCGTGGCCCAGATTTAAGGTGGGTCTTTGGATCTCAAATGATCCTAATTTAATTAATTACTAAAAATCCCTTATAGGTGTGCCTAGCAACTTGGGTTTTTAGTTAATTCTAGATGTTGTCAGGTAGACAACCAAGAATAACACCACACATCATAAACACCTTTTCTAGCAACTGTATTTATGTGATCTGTGTTGTGTAAGGATATGCTGGTGAATCCACCTAATGCCTTACACACTCTAGCAGATGTGGCCACTTTTGTTTTACGCTACGGCTGTATGACTGTACCACAGAAGAACCTAATTGTCTTCTTAATGGCTTGTTAACCAGCGCCAGTCTTTTGGCAATATGAGTAGTGCTGTTAGGAGACCCTTGTGTGTGTTTTTGTACTCTTTATATAGCCCTAGGTATCATCAATTTCACTATTTGTTTTTCTCCTGTCAGCCCCAAATAGTATCTTCTTTTAATCAGAGGTTTTTGTTTTCCCTTATTGCAAGTGAGACAAGACATTTCCTCTACAAAAAAGGACAGTGGGAACTAAAGGGACATGAGAGTGGAAGAGACCCCCAAACCAGGATCTAGTGTGCCCTTCTTGCTGACCAAAACTCAATAAACTTCAACACAGTTTAAAAAAAAAAAGCCAATAATGTCTGCCGAGATCATGTATGTTTTTCCTAAAGACGTCTCAAATAACAATATTAAAAAACCAAAACCAAACCAAACCAAACCAAACCAAAAAAAAAAAAAAAAAAACAGATGAACCAGGTGTGGTGATTCACAAGAAGGTTAATAGTTTGAAATTGTCCTTAGTTGTGTAGCACATTCAAAGGCAGCCAGAGCTACGTGAGACCTGGTCTCTAAAAACAAATTAGTAAAAAGGAAAAAAAAAAAAAGATAGCTGGGCAGATAGTTTAGGCCAAGAAATGTGGTGTTTACTCTCTGTTGTTAACTTGAGACATTTGGGAAGCAAGATCCTCATTCTGAGGAATTGACTCCACCAAACTGGCCTGTGGACACATCTGTGAGGGGCATTTTCTTGATTGCTAATTGATGGAGAACAGCCTACCTCACTGTGGGCCATGCCAAGCTAAACAGAAACGGGGAGCAAGTTAGTAAACAGCACTCCACCCTGGTCTCTGCTTCAGTGTCTACTGCCAAGTTCCTGCCTTGATTTCCCTTGATGATGAATTGTGACCTGAGACTTGTAAGATGAAATAAACCCCTTCCTTTCTAATTTGTTTTTGGTCACTGTCTTATCACAACAACAGAAACCAAATTAGGACATCCAGAGCTTGCTGCACAAGTAGCTGATCAGAACCCAAGGCAAAAGCTCTGGGGAGGTAACACACATTCATAAGCCTAGTGCTGATAAAGTAGGTCCCCAGGGGTCACTGGCCAGTCAGCCTAGCCTACTCAGTGAGCTCCAGGCCAATGGGAGACTCTGTCTTAACAAACAAGATAGATGGTTCCTGGGGATTTGAACCTCAGGTTGCTCTCTGGCCTCAACATGCGCTGGAACACACATTTCATACTCTCTCTCACACACATGCACACACACAAACAACACAGAAACAACAAATGGACTCTGCTGACTTAAGGCCTGATGTTTGTGACCTATGTTAACACTCACCCCTAAATCTGCCTTTCAGAATTGTCAAACATCATGCCTGAATATTCTGCTTAATTTGTCCCTAAAATTGTCTAGTTTTAGAAACCATAGATAAATCAACTCACGAAAAGGGTTGGGGGTTGAGAATGGTGCGTAGAGCTGGGTGAGGTAGCGCTTGCTTGTATATCTGCGCCTTTGGGAGGCCGAAGCAGGAGGATTTTGAGTCTGAGGCCACCCTGAGCCACGCTTTGAGACTGTGCTGAAGAAGAGGAAGATGAGTAGGAGGAGAAAGAGGTAGGGGAGAAAGAGAGAGAGGTCTAGAACTTTGGATCATAGGGGGTGAAACAACACTGGAGCATTCAAGGACAGCCACTGGCATCAAAGATGCCAGTGACAGCAAAGATGTGACAAATACTCTCTGAAGAGGCTTCCTCCTTCCTCAGAGCTCATTTAAAAGCCCACAGTTCCGGCTGGAGAGATGGCTCCGAGGTTAAGAGCACCGACTGCTCTTCCTGAGGTCCTGAGTTCAATTCCCAGCAACCACATGGTGGCTCATAACCATCTGTAATGAGATCTGGTACCTTCTTCTGGTGTGCAGATATGTATGGAAGCAGAATGTTGTATACATAATAAATAAATAAAATCTTAAAAAAAAAAAAAAAGCCCACAGTTCCTGGCTTCTTCCGCAACTAACCTTATTTGGCCAGAGTGATAGATGCATAAGACAGGCTAAGACCTCAGGAAAGTCTGTGACAAACTGTGGAAGGCCCTTTCTCTCCACATCTTATGGCCAGCCATTGGCTATATGGCAAAAGATGCAAAATATAAGCCCTGATGACCCTGGACCCACCAAACCAGCCCCGGAGTACCTGTTGGTCAACTTCTCTTACACAGAGAAAAACATCTATCTGTCTTGTCTAAGTCATGATACTTTTTTTCTTCTTTATAAAGATAGTAGTCCAATCTGACAGAGACACAGGCCCTTCGCAGGCAAGGCTTAAGGTTGCTGTTTGATTTGGAAAACAGAATATTTTAACAAAGCCCGCAAACTAGCAAATGGAATAAGTGTTAGAAAGTAAACAGCTCTGAGGGGCGTTACAGAAATTCACTTTATTTGATCAGAATGGAGTCTCGGCACAGTGAGGATATAGTCCTGGAGTACAGAAGGACAATTAGGAAGGATGGGGTTCCTCTTTTTGGAGAAGGTTAGTGAGGCAGGAAGTCTGGGTGCGGCTCAAAGTCAGAGAGTCCTCCTTCAATTATCTATTCTCTCAAAGATGCTCCCAGCTGGGACTCAAGGAAGAGTGACAGCCAGAAGAGCAGCCTTGTGCAGAGGTGGATTGAAAAGCAAGGGTCAGCCAGGCTATGGCTGCACACATGTCAGCATGTGGCAGGTGGGGGTGGGGAAAGGAGAGCTGCGAGCTTAAGGCCAGGATGGGTTGACTCAAAAAAAGGAGCCAGGACAGGATATTAGTATATATGGATTTTGAGGTGGCTCAAGCCTATTTCTCTACAGTAATTTCTCTCTACCATCTAAGTGTAATGTGCATCCATCGTTTGCTTCCTCTCTCTTACTTTTCAGTATTAGTTTTCCCTTGGTTAACATGGAGCCATTTATCTTTCAACAGCCCCTCCACCACTCTTGTTGTTTGTTAGTGAGTTTGACTCTCCAATCCTGCCCTTCATCCTAACCCCCAACCCCCAATATCAGGCAGACATTGAAGCCAGGCTGCAAGACACATAATGTTGGGCTATTTTCTGGATTTACAGGGAAAGGAAAGCATTCCATTCCCTAGGCTTGTTCAAGAGCTAGGAACATGGGTCTGGGGACTCTGGCACCTTTTCTGCTAACAAGCAAAACAGCCTGCAGAAGCATGAAGCCAAACACAGTAAGTAAGAGAAGAGATAAGAGGGGCTAATTTTGGGTTTTGTTATTTGTTTGGTTTTCCTGAGACAGGGTTTCTCTATGTAGCCCTGGATGTACTGGAACTCCCTCTGTAGACCAGTCTGGCCTCAGACTGACACAGATCTGCTTGTCTCAGCCTCCCAGGTGCTGGGATTAAGGCATATACCATCACTGCCTGCCCCCTCCACCACTCACATAAGGAGGTGAGACAACAATCTTGGGTGTCATCCTCTGGAATGACATCCACCTTTTTTGAGACAGAACCTCTCATGGCTGGAGCTCACTAATTAAGCTAAACTGGTTTGGGAACAAACCCCAGGGACTGTCCTGTCTCAACCGCCCTAGTTCAGGGATTAAGTGTGTACCCATGTCTGCTGTTCTTAAATGGGCTCTGGGGAATTAAGCTGAGGCCCTATGCTTGCAAGGCAAGCATTTTACTGAGTGAGCTGTCTCCCCCAGCATAAGAAACTGATTTCT